TGAGGGGCGACTTGAGGGCCGGGGCCGCTCCCGGAGGAGGGCCATGAGGGGGACCGGGGCCGCCTCCCTGAGGGGTTCGTGAGGGGATGCCGGGGCCGCGTCCCCTGGGGCGGCTGTGAGGGGGGACGAGGCCGGTTGGTGTCAGGCCGGGGAGGATACCCCGGCAGGTGGGCTCGGCGCCGGTGAGCTCCCTGGCCCGGGAGCTCTTCTCCCGCTGTGGAAGTCGGAGGAGGGCCGGGGAGGAGGACGCTGGTGGCAGCATGAGGTCTCTCCCGCCGTCCCCAGCTCTGGGATAATCCCATGGGCTTCCCTGACCAGACGTCGTTTTTCTTCAGGTGAGATGCAGGCTGACAGGCCACGAGATGCCATGTCGGCTGTCGGAGCTGCAGGCTTATACCAATGGCAAGAGGTATCAGCGGCTGATAAAATCCGCCAGAGAGTTTGACTACGGCAAGTTTGAGCCTCATATTGTGCCCAGCACAAAGAATCTGTACGTATTCTTCCTCTTGTGTGTTCTGCTTCACACTTGTTAAGTCTCAGACATGAGGTGGTCGAGCTTTACAAAGTTCTTGAGTGTTTATGGGTTTTGGGAGGCTGGGAAAGTCTTTATAAAGTATTTATCAACTTTGAGCACAGTGCTTATAAGTGAAAAGTTATTAAGTAATAGCATACTTAAACTCTTGTCACTGGCTCTTTCTTTCTGTGTCTTTCAGACACCAGCTGTTTTGCAAGCTGACTCTGAGACACATCAACAAGTTTCCAGAGCACGTGCTGCGTCATGTCCAAGGGAAGCGCTATCAGAAGGCCCTAAAAACATGTAAGTGGCTTTTCTGAAGGTACAACCAGCTGACTTTTTTTTTCCCCTGAGGTGTTGAGATTCTAATAGCTCTACATGGAGGAAGGGGAATCCATTTTCTGTAGAATGACAGTAATGTACTGTTGTTGCTGTGTGTGTTCCTCAGCGAGGAAGGAGGATCCCAGATATAGGGAGCAGTTGGCCTCTAGCAGATACCTTGGAACATCCTCACTTGAGAGGAACGGTTTTAAAACTTCCCCAGAGAGGGTGGTTCACACATCCACCACAGTCTCTGTGTTAACAACTTTCCCATTTTTCATGGTCCATAGTATCACTGTAGATTACATGAATGCATGTTGGAGTTGGAGCTTGACATTATTTTGAGTTGCGTTTAATATAAGCTAGAGCTGGAAATGAAAAGGAGTAAGGCAACTGTGTGGCTTTGCTAAGTGCTGCCCGATTGCGCTATTAGATGAGGAGTGCCAGAAGGAAGGAGTGGAGTACGTCCCTGCTTGCTTGCGACAGAAGAAACAGCGAACGCAGCACTCTGATGACCAAATGAATGGGAGCAGGCAGCCTTACAGAAAAGAGGAATTCTGGGAGCCAAAGTCCAGTGATGAGGACGGAGAGGAGACAGACGACAGCATGAGTGACCTGTACCCACGTGAGTAAGAACGTTGGTATCATCTATATCCTGAAGGGAGTTTAATTGCTCATTTTCTCCTGGCTTCTTTGTACTGCTCTCGTGCCAGAGGCATGTGACTTCCATCCAGTTGGGGGTTCTTGAGTTCGGAAAAGCTTACCACCACCAAATAAGAAATGCAGTTATCGCTAAGTAATAACCAGAGTTGGATCACATAAGGTGTGAGGGGAGGGATACCAGATCCACTGGGATTTGCTGCTGTAGGTGTCTCTGCTTTCCTCATTTCTCAGCAAGTCCTGGAGTCTGACAGAGGTTGGTCAGGCCGTTCTGCTCACTTACGTCTGGAGGAGAGCAGAGGTGTAACACCACAGAACCGCCTGTGATGAAGGGTTCCCAGAACAGAGCTCATGAGAGCACCAGGCACGTTTCTAATAAAACAGCAGTGTGTTTATTTCTCAAGTGTTTCAGCAGTGACACATACATGCTTGAAGGCTGGAAATAGCTTGGCAAATCACCTTTAAGATGCTCTCAAAGTAAAGTTAGGGGGAGGCAGAGCCTGTCTGCACAGTGAACTGATCCTGAGCTAAATCTTTGTATTTTAGCTGCACTGTTCCCAGAAAAAAGTCCAGCAGCTCCACAAACCACAAAAGGCCGCGATGACTTTGCAACAGACAGCGAGGATGACGGGGCTAAGCAGAACGGTGATGTGAACAGAGAGGACGGTGGAAGAATGGATGTCAGCAGAGCAGTTGGCAACAAAAGGGGAAAGGTGGGAGTCACACTGCCACGTGCAGCAGCAGGGGAGGGTGGGACTGGGATCCCATCCTGTAGGTGTTTGTCTGATCCATTCCCTTCTGAGAACCAGCAGAAGGTGCAAAGCTGCTCAGGAACATAGACTTTCCCTGTGTGGCAGCCACTGACTCGCATCCTGAGGTGTGAATCACTACCAGTGAATGTTTATCCCGTCTGTGGTAACGAGGGATGTTCCTGCCTGTATAAATAGCTCGGCTTTGGTGGGATCCTGCCGCATGCTCTTTAACAGGGAAACTGAAGCATGTCTTGTGGGTTCTGTGATCTTCCTTCCCCATATACAAGTTAATCCCTTTTGAAGTCACAGGGTCCTTCTAAACCCTTTTTCTGGCTCTTTTAGGAGCTGGCCAGGTCCTGCATTACAGGACATACCTTGATCCTTCTCAGTTTGGGAATCAGGCAGATGTTATGTATATAAAAATGGACAAACCTTTAACTCTCTAAGGCAGCCCCTGAGGGAGAGGCAGGATCATTTATAACCCAATCAAACTGGAAAGCGAAGGCTGACTGAAGTTTAGGTTCATTTCTATGAGGAGACAGTCACCATTTGTATCTAATGAAACTATAACCCTGTCAGAGAAAGGGACGCTAACTTGCAGGACAGGGCAAGGAGCCATCCAGGCTGGCTCTGGGACCAGGCCTGTGCCAGCTCTGTTGGTAAGAGACCACACTGTTTTTATGCTGTTATGGGCAGGGCTGGATTTGGGTTTTGGAAAAAAGCTGATTAACTTTTTTTTTCTCTACAGAAACAGTCAGGCCCTTTAAAGAAGAAATTCAAGAGTCATCATCGAAAACCCAAGAACTTCAAGAAAGCAACCAATGGCAAATAAATTTTACGATAAATACATGGCCTGAAGCCTGTTGTATAACAGTTCTAGAGGGTGCACAAGGCTGGCTGAAGTGTTTGCCCATTCCAGTTACTAGTTACAGTTGAGCAGGGGAATAGGGGGGTGGAATTAAGTTGTGTTCTAACAGCCTCAAGCTACCCCCCACCACTGCAGGAAGGATAACTGCTGCAGTCAAGTACAGGCGGCCCAGGGCTCACACCTCTATGGAAAGATGACTTTCAGTAGGTGGGAGAGAAAGCACACAGGACCACTAACCAGCATTTCCAGGTAGCCTATCCGGAGTGTCACCAGTCACACACGCCAAGTGGATACAAAGATGCCATTGTTTTATTTTGATTGTTTCCAAAAATCAAAACATTTTCAAACACAACTAAGGTACAAAATACAGCATAAAATGAGAATTTATACTTATTTCTTTTTCCACATAGAAAGCAAAAATATATTCAGAATGAATTCCAGGACACTTTGCAGAGCCAATTGATAGCTGACATCCTGCTTGTGGGAGCTTCTCAGCCATGGGGCGAGGTCACTCTATTTTTTTGGAGATGCATGAATACAGCAGTGTATGTAGGAAACCAGAATAGTCTGCATCAGGACTCACAGTTACTAAGTCTGCATATTGCGCTGCTTAGAAATACCTTATAATGCCCTCCACCTAACTGGGCCCCTTTAGTACCAAAATACTTCTGCTGCAAGGGACAGTATCCGTTCATTTTCTGGGGTATTTTGTCAGAAAGGCAACTTGATTTTCACAGAGGAAACTGGTCAGTATTTCAGACTAGTCCATCATCCAGCTCTGTAGTTAGACAGGACACAAAGAAGTTGAGAAAGCCAACTTAAAGGCTACTTACAGGAGTTGTTTCTGTCATTCCATTTATAAATACTATGAACATCAACAGCAGTTAAGATATCTGAGAATGGCTGCCTTGATGTAGCCTAAAACTGTTCTAGGACCTGCAGTGAAATTGAGCAAAAGCATCCTGTGCTGCATATCCGTAAGAGAAAGGACCAGTTTGTTTTGCTACAAAGAGACCAGCACAGTGAACACCTGAAGTGAAAACTTCTCTTGCAAAACCTATTTAAAAAGAAAGCCTTCTATGTGACCTGAACTTGAATGCTGGCTTCCCCTCCCATCTACCCTCACATACAAATTTGTTTCCTTCAGCAGCAGCACATCTTGCTATTACATAGGCTATTTTCCCCTTCAGATGATGAAATCACTGGAATAACATTCAACAGCGCTCTTCTATTTGTCATCAGTTCTTTCAGCCTAGTTTTTTTTTTTCTCTCCTAACATGCAACCGTTAAGCTGAACTGTCCAGGTTAGTGTCCTTACCCCCGGTAAATAGCTCCTGCCAGAGGCGTTCAGCTGAATTACTCCTTGAATGAACAGTTGAGCAGCTTTCTCAAGGGAGACAACAGTGCAAGGAATGAATGTAGTATTAGCAAGTTGGCAGGGCTCATGCTTTCTAGAATTCTTTCTTAATCTAGTGAAACAGGTTCACCTAGTTGACTAGCAGAGGACAAAAATGCCTCCTCTGAGCAGCACTAAGCATGTTCATGGCACAGAGGTCGTGGCACTGAGAGGTGAAAACAGGGCCTTCCTCTCTCCTCACCATTACGCTGAGGAGTTCCTCCCTCTGAACATGCAAGTTACATCCCTGGCTGCTTATTCACTGCGCAGGCTTTGCACTTGCATTCTTCAGGTATAACCGTTTGCGTACAGAGTTGAGAACTGGGGCTGTGGCAGCACACAGCTGACTTCCA